ATATTATATTATATCATATCATATTTTATTATATTATATTCTATTCTATTATACTATATTATATTATATTATATTATATTGTATTATACTATATTATATTATATTAGATTATATTTTATTATATTATATTATATTATATTATATTATATTATATTATATTATTTTTTATTTTATTTTATATTAGGAAAGCAGGCTTCTGAGCAGCTCTTGAAACCTCGCCCAGGCCGTCAAACAGAGCCTTCAAGACAGCTATGCTGAAGGGCTATGTGCCCTGACATCCATCCTGCGATATCATTATACAAGCCCAGAGAGCCCAATACCCCTTACATAAGGAATATACTTTAAATTATACATAGGGGCCTTAAGATTATGATTTAAGGTCTATTCCCTATTTTAAGGAGTACGTTGGGCTCTCTGGGAGATGCCTCCTGAGCAGTACCCCTAAACCCTAAATCCTAAATCCCTAAACCCTAAACCCCAAACCCCAAACCCCAAACCCCAATCCCTAAACCCTAAACCCTAAACCCCTAAACCCCAATCCCTAAACCCTAAACCCTAAACCCTAAACCCTAAACCGCAACCTGCTCAGGTGCTGCTCTCCGGTGCCGGTCGGCTGTTGGAGCTGTTGGCAGAGCTTTCGGACGTCCCAGGCAGCGCTGCCGGGGTTTAGGGCTCAGGGTTTTTGGGGTTTTAGGGTTTAGGGTTTAGGGTTTAGGGCTTTTAGGGTTAAGGGTTTTTGGGTTTTTAGGGTTTAGGGTTTTAGGGTTTAGGGTTTAGCGGATTGCTTTCTGCTGTGATCGAATCAAGAGATGCCGCCCGGGAGTTGCAACCGCGGAAGCATGGAAAGCATTGCCGGACATCCCAAAACCCTCAAATCCCTGAACTTCCAAAAGCTTTGCCCAGCACCCCCACTTCCGGAATCCCCGGCGACTTGGCGACTGCCCTCAGGCCCCTAAACCCCAAACCCCTACACCCTTAAACCGGAACTCCCTAAACCCCACACCCCAAACCCGAAACCCCTATACACCCTGAAATCGGAACTTACGATTCCACGCCGCCCTCGGGGGGCGCCAGGCCGAGACTGTCTCCGGGCCAACGCTCTGAAGGCCCGGCTGCGGCTAAGCTCCGCCTAAGGCTTTTCGGTGCAATATATAGAGGCCTTATAAGAATGGGGTTCCTTTCAGGCTTCCTTCTCAAGAGCATGTATAGAATAGGGTTCGGGGGTAGTTAGATACGTATGGCGAAAGTTTGTTGCAATTAGAACTGTAGCATATGAGGGGGGGGCAGTGTATATGTCCTATTTGGGGGTCCTCAGGAGAAGGATCTTGCTGTTCAGGGTTTGTTGTTTATAAGGGTTCCTCGTTTTCTGAAACTCCTAAAATATTCGGTTGTAGGAAGGCAACATTCAATTTTTCGAGCCTTTGCTTTAAGAAGGCAGGGGGTTCAGGGCAATGCAGGCGTGCTGAGGACAGTCAGAGGCTATGGTGTGCTGCAGCATTCGTTTCGGTGTGGCAAGGCACGCAGTCCAGGTTTGGCTCTAGTGCTTTACGTACCATTTGGTGTAATCCCTAACCGTGAACCA